AAGTAGGCGTGACCGTCGGGCGGGGCTCGCAGTGGTGTCTGGCGTGATCTGGTTGGTGAACTGCCCGGTCTAAAAAGAGTGGTGAATTTGGTTTGAAAAGTGGTGAATTTGGTTTGAAAAGTGGTGAATTCAAAGTGAAAATGGTATATATCCAGTTGACTCAAAGATGTTCAGAAGGCCATGCGTGCAAAAGTGGCAATATCTCGAGACAGTGAGCTGTATTATAATTCATGTCGGAAGCGACGTGGACGAATAATGGATTCCCGGATAATCGACTATTCCGTTACAATCTCAACTCCATCAGAGGAAAAGCCTGCGTTCACTTTCTGTGATTTAGCGCGTACGTTTTCATAATAGATTCCAGCATATCCTTTTATTTGACCCAAATTCGACGACTGAGATTGAGAGTGAGGAATTTTTACACCCCTTTCTTGTTTCGATTGTTCGGACACACTGAGATTTCTGATTTTTGATTGCGATAGCATGTGACAGTCTTTGATTGCGCTTACAGAAATCAATTCGTCCCTCATCCGTCGGCTGTCGGTTCGACCTCATATAGAAACTCTTCCATGTCCATCTATCGAAGATAATGGTAAAGAGAACGAAAACGGCGATGAGAATGGAGCAAAGGTAGGGTCTTTTGTTGTTTTCGAGAGACCTCCATGCTTTACAACTTGGCTTCTCATTGTTTCAGACCAAGTAATTTTGGAACCTTCAATTATAGGAACCATCGGTAGAACTTGAAGAAGAACAACAGGACGAGTCATCGGCAAGTGAGAAGCCGATGTCAGAAAGTCGTGAAGAAGTGAAGGAGGAGGAGAAGAAGGATAATGAGAAAATAACCTCAATAATAAGACCCAATCGTAATACTGAAGAAGCAAAACAGAACAGGTCATACGCAAGGAGATCCGATCAAACTATCTAGAAACGTTAGAAGGGGAGGAGAAGAAATGATAATGAAAAAGAAAAACCAGCGCCAGTATAATCCAGACACGGGCCGCGTTATTTGGAGCAAACGGCAAACAGCACTCATAATTGCAAACTGTTATACGTAGCCGAAGGATCCAGGCTAAATACCATAAAAAAATCAGCACACAACATACAGCATGCCTATGCTAAATTTCAGGACCGCACCTCCTGGAAGCTGCTCGTTGGAAAGAGTCATAAGTTATTCGTTACGGCTTACACTACGGTTAGCTCTCTGAAAACCCAGAGAATACGTGATTCTGAACTTCAAAGCTCATAAGTGGCATTTCTACAGTCATCCAGTTGATATAAAGTATTCTTCTCCAGTCCGCTTACCAACGAAGTCAAATACTCGTTATTTGTGTGTTGATTTCCTCTCTCCTCGTAAAAATGTTTCTCTCATAAGGAGATCTCTAGATCACTGATCCAACTCGGTTATCCCAACACAGCTAACAGTCAACGAGCATCCACCACGTTCATCGCACACGCCTTATGCACAAAGTCAGCCTATGAGGAATCAACAAGGAGGTCAAACAAAAGAAGCGTCAATTCAGGAGCAAGAACTTCCCCAACGCTCGTCTCTTTTGAGTGCAGAACCTGGTGGAATTCCTTCAAGTTCTTGATTGGGTAAATGGGATTCTCTGGGGGGGGGTGGGGGGGCGAGTACGGAGGGAAGGATTATCGGTAGTGGTGTATTATTTACACTAACTTGTAAATCGGCTGCCCACGTGAAGCACTGTAGGCCACATCGCTTGGTCAAAGGCGGAACCTCATCCTTTCTTTTATCTGAGGTGACCGAGATTGTAGAAATCCTGTATCTCCTATTCGATCTTTGGGTAAATTAGATTTAGATTTAGATTTATTGCATGTGAGTCAACACAGAAATGAGCAACGAGTTCGTAGTATAAATCTACGTGCTAGTAACATAAGCCTTGAAATGGCCACCACAACACTTGAAATACAACAACAGAGAGAACAATACAACATAGCGAGCATAGTACAAAACTGAAAGTTAGCTTAGTGGCCTCCGATGCCGATACTAAGAGAAATAAATAAAGAAAAAAGCCTCACTTGAAATGATGGTGCAAGAGATTTTTGAACTGAGCAATATTTTTCGGTAGCGTGAATGATTTCATCAATTTAGAAAACTGAGTGGCTGCCCTTATTGCAAAAAATTTAGTCCTGACACTTGTTTTGGATCTGGGAACTACGAGCTTATTCTTCTCTCCCCTGGTAATTGAGTTGCGGAGGGTGAAAAAAATCTTGAAACTTGAGGCTTAGCTTTCCTGTGAATATCTTGTAAACAGTAATGAGATCGAACATCTTACGTCTGTACGAGAGTGAGTCTAGGCCCAGCATCTTGTTTCTAACTATTCCTCTAGGAATTGCATTATAAAAACCAAGAGCGCGAATCAAAATTTTCCTCGTGAAACTATTTTGGACTGTTTCCAGTTTTCTGATGTCATTTTTAGAATTAGGGAAGAAAATGGTAGTGCCGTACTCCAGAACAGGGCGAATATAAGTTTTGTATGCTTGAAGAAGTACACAAGGATCCTTCGTTAAGAGACTCTTTAAAAGTTGATAGGTCCGCCGCTCTGCTTTATTTGCTATGATTGTGCAATGCCGTTTAAATGTCAGCTTATCGTCAATAATAAACCCCAAATCCTTTACCTCTTGAGTTTTCCTAAGCTCAGTTCGGTCAATGTGGTAGGTATAGGAATTCTGACCAGGACCGAGATGTAACACAGAGGTTTTCTCACGCGCAATTGGAAGACCCCACTGCTTGGACCACGCGCTGACTACTTCGATAGCATTTTGGATGATGTTCGAATCACTCACATCAGAGACGGACCTATAAATT